TCAAATGACAACTATCACTCAATTTATTGGACTCAAAACTAGTTTGGTTTCTGTGATGCTCCAATTTCAAAAACATTCCCATTTTCGGCTTTGCTACTTTGAAATCTTCTGAGTGAGTTTAAATTTCAATTACATTTCCACTTTTTTAATACTCATAACCATGGCATTATTGATCCTTATATCGAAATGTAACAGCTGCAATTTTTTTTGTTTCTGACCATAAGAAATGTGTTTAACCTGTAATGGTTTTAGTTTTGAGGATTCAAAAGATTATAAGATTAAAGCTAAGTACTATTTTAACTTTTAAAGATCTGAAAGACAATATAAATGTGTTATATATCGCATATTACAAGCTATAAATTGATATAAGAAATGAATATTAGATGTGTTTATAAAATTGAAACAGATCCCAAAGGGAAAGAGGTTCTAACATTCCTAAAAGGGAAAGAAGACATGTGGGAACTCTTTTCTTTCTTCTGCACCTTTTTTTATATTTTGATTTTGGGGACCATACCATAATTACGTTTTTATGTTTCTTAATTTTTTTTAACCCCCTTTTCAACGTTATTTTAAAAACAAACCAATTTAGAAACATGCAAAATATATTGGTTCTTATGTTGTTGACTGTACGTACAGTTTGTTTTAATAGAAAAAAAATTAACAAAAAGTAGTACATTTCAGAATCAATGTAAACAAAGATGTAAAACAATCATTTTAACTAGATATACCAAATTATATAAAGGATACGCTTGGTCACCCGTAAAAACACAAGAAAAAACCCACAAAATTATTAAATGTGTAAGTGAACGATATTTATTATCGTAGTAATTCTTCATAGCTGGTTTTACTTTAAAGACATATATGAACGATATCACATTAATTGAAACAACAACATTAACTCAACAGCTTTTCAAGTTAAAAAAATCATCAAATTCTGAAATTTTACAATTTGACCACACAACTTTTAAATATTCGTAGACCGACCCCATCAGCTTTTTCCTGGTACAGTTGTTATGATTTCTGAAGATTCTAGCCGTACTCTAATGGACCCACATCCCTTCATCTTCATCATCCAAAAACCCTCTTCTCTATTTTTTTTTTTTTTGTATTATTCAGAAATTTTATTCATATATTCACGCAAACAACACACTAGATTTCAACTATTAATAATTAAAAAGATTTAAATTTTCCGTTACGAACTTTTTTTTTTTTTATATAAAAACAGTGGTCTACGTCACGTGACTTGCGTGCCTTACTTGTT